CCCCCACTTGCCCCGCTGCGCTTCCCTCCCCCTCGCCCCCAGCACCCTCCTCCCTCCTCCCTTCTCAAACCCGCTGTCAGGGAAAGTGTGGCTAACTGGAGTGAATTCACTGCCACTGACTCTGGGCCCGGAAGCGTCACGCGTCTTTTAATTTTCCAAATTAAAGATTCGGGCCCGGCTCCCACCTGTCAGTGTTGGCGGGAAATGCATTCGTTAGGTTACGAGGCTCCCCCTCCCTTTTCTCTGGGGCTCAACATTTGGAGAGGTTTTACTCCCCTTCCCAAGCCAGCTGCGCAGGTGTGGTGGGGTGGAGAGGGTGTCTTTGATGTCTCCGGGTCCAGGCCTTGAGATCCCCTCTGCAGACACCCCCTGCAGCTCTCCCGCTCAGCTCCCATGCACATATCCAGGGACTGCGTACAAGCCAGGGACAGGTTTCCATTCCTGGGGGAAGTCACTCATCCCTTAGACCTGGCCATCGCCTTATTCCTGGACCAGCACCAGCTTTTCCCCTTCCCTTCTGAGCAATTGCAGCATCATTTCCCCATTACCTAATCTTCAAGACGCAACCCAAGGGTGGGGTGGAGGAGTGTCTTCTTCAGAGTGGCCCCTGAAACAGCAAGAAACTGTTGGCCAGTGTGTGTTGTTGGGGTTGCAAGTGAGGAAAGGGGGAATGTAGAAAGAGCCTAGACCTTATAATTTAAGATTTTAGCTATTCTTGAGATGGGGACCCGTGAGAGAGAAATTACCCTTTTATTCTTTCCAGTCTCTTACAACAGCAAGACCAAGACTGAAATTAATGTCTCAATAGATTAGCCTGCTAAGAGTTTTACAAAGAGAGAATTTGTATCTGTCACATATGTTTTATCATGAATTTAAGTGAATATATTATCTCTTCGAGGGGTATTAGCATGTTAGCCTTATGCGTGGTGTGAAAAGGTCTTTCTCTTCCTGTTCATTTCAGACATCTGTGAAAAGGCAGAGAGGATATTCTTTTCCAAGGGCGAGGAGGGATTCTGAAATCACATTGCATCAGTTATCTATTGCTGCATATCAAATCACCCTAAAACTTAGTGACTTACGAAACAATATACATTTATTGTCTCTCACAGTTTCTGTTGGTCAGAGATTTGGGAGTAGCTTGGTGGGCAGTTGTGGCTTGAAGGTTTCTCATGCAGTTGCAATTTTATGTCAGATGGAGGCTGACATTAGAAAGCCTGGAGATCACCTTCCATAGAGACTCACTCACATGGACCACTCAGATGGCTGACTGTTGGCAGGAAACCCCAGCTCCTCTCCAGAAAGGCCTCTCCACAAGATGACTTGAGTCTTCACAGCGTGGTAGCTGATGTCCCTCAGAGCAGGGAATCCAAGAGAGAGCAAGACAGAAGTCATATTGACCTAGCTCTTTGAAGTTTTGCTGTCATCACCACTTGGTCACACACACAAGCTATTCAGTATGGAATAATGATTCAATATGGAAGGAGATTACACAAGGGCATGAATACCAGGAGGGTAGGATTATTGGGGGCCACCTTAAAAGCTGGCTATCACACACATTGCCTCCATAATCACATCTATTTTTTAATTTTGAAAATTTCTAAAGATACACAGAGGTAGAGAAGACAGTACAATAAACTCCCATATACCTATCACCCATGGGCAATAATTATCAAGAAAATGCCATCATTTTATTTTGTACAAATATCCTTGAGAAATACATGGCCTTTCCACCCCACCCCTCATCCCCACGTCCTATACTAACTTTCTTGAGACCCCAGTGTTCCAGGCTCTCTCTGTCTCTCCTTTTCTTCTTTCTGCCACGTGTAAGGGATAGAGGAGGGACAGACACAAAAAAAGAAGAAGACCCCTTATGCTGGTCACCCATTTCAAGAATGAGTGTCTCAAATATGGAGAGGTCACCACAGATATGGTCCTCAGAGAGTCTCTTGTTTCAGCTAGTTCAGAAGTAACAATGTCCTTTTAAAATTTTAATGTGTATACAGATCAGCAGGGAATCTTGTTAGCACAAAGGTTCCAAATCAGTAGGACTGGGGCGGGGGGGGCTCAGAGTCAACATTTCTTTTTTTTTTTTTTTTCTTTTTGAGTTGGAGTCTCATTCTGTTGCCCAGACTGGAGTGCAGTGGCTCGCTCCTGGCCACTGCAGCCTCAACGTGCTGGGCTCCAGCGATCCTTCTGCCTCAGCCTTCCAAGTAGCTGGAACTACAAGCGTGTGCTACTACGCCCGGCTAATTTTTTTGATTTATTGTAGAGATGTGGTCTTGCCAAGTTGCCCAGGCAGGTCACGAACCCATGGGCTCAGGCAATTCACTCACCTCGGCCTCCCAAAGCGTGGGATTACAGGCTGAGCCACTGAGCCCAGCCCAGAGTCAACATTTCTAACAAGCTAACAAGGTGATGCTGGCACTGCTGTGACCCAGACCACACTTTGAGCAGCAAGAGTCTTGAGCTGTGCTGTCCAAGTTAGTAGCCATCAGCCACATGGGGCTGTTTAAGCTAATTAAAATGGAATATCATTCTACATTACTTCTTCAGTTTCCCCTAGCTACATCATGATGCTCAATAGCCACATATGGCTAGCTACCCTGTTGAACAGCACAAAATCACAGAAAGTTTCATTGGATGGCACTGGCATAGAGAATCGACTCATCGTAACTCTTTTTTTTTTTTGAGTTGGAGTCTCACTCTGTCGCCCAGACTGGAGTGCAGTGGCTGCTCCCGGCCACCGCAGCCTCGACCTGCTGGGCTCCGGCGATCCTTCCGCCTCAGCCTTCCAAGTAGCTGGAACTACAGGCATGCGCTACCACGCCCGGCTGGCATCGTAACTCTTCACAGCTGCTTTTTAGATAAAAGCAACAAAAGAGGACCTGGGCAAGAAAAATAGCAACAGGTTCTGTATAGTGGGTATTTATTTCCTCTTGCTAGAATGAATTAACCCAGTGCTCCTGAATGCATTTTGGAAGGTTGTTTGGTTAACTCTCAGCTCTTGAGCAAAAGCGGTTGGATATGTCTACTAGGTTGTGAGACTGGGTGCTTTGCTTTTTCTCCACACTAGGAGTTTTTTTTTTCTTTCTTAATGACTAGTATGGGCCATTAGAATCAAAGTGGAGAATGCTGAGGAAGACATTCTATTAAGAAGCTAACTGCTGGGCTTGGTGGCTCAGCCTGTAATCCCGTGCCTTTGGGAGGCTGAGGTGAGTGGATTGCCCGAGCCCACGGGTTCGAGACCCACCTGGAAAACTTGGCGAGCCCTCATCTCTACAATAAATCAAAAATCAGCTGGGCATGGTAGCGCGCGCCTGTAGTTCCAGCTACTTGGAAGGCTGAGGCGGAAGGATCGCCGGAGCCCAGCAGGTCGAGGCTGCAGTGGCCGGGAGCAGCCACTGCACTCCAGTCTGGGCGACAGAGTGAGACTCCAACTCAAAAAAAAAAGAAAAGAAAAGGTAACTTTTTGGCCGGTCGTGGTGGCTCATGCCTGTAATCCTAGCACCCTGGAAGGCCGAGGCAAGAGGACTGCTTCAGCCCAGGAGTTTTAAACCAGGCTGGGCAACATAGCAAGACCTTGTCTCAAAAAAAGAAAAAAGACAAAATTAGCTGGGAGTGGTGGCACACACCTGTAGTTGCAGCTTCTCAGGAGTCTGAGGCGAAAGGATTGCCTGAGGCCGGAAGGTTGAGGCTGTAGTACCCTCCAGCCTGGGCAACACAGTGAGTCCCTGACTGAAAGAAAAAAAAAAGCAGCAGCAGGTAGCTTTGGATTCCTTTTTGAAGACTCCAGAAGATTAGCTACTCTTTTAGGACAATGTAATCCAATTTTCTGAGATATTTCTTTGTCTGATTTCATTTTATGTTGTATGTCCTTATAGAAATTTTCATATAATCTTTTTACATATATGTAGGCCAGCATTGAGATGGAAACCGACATTAGAAGGCCAGGAGATCACCCTCCATAGAGACTCACTCACGTGGACCACTCAAATGGCTGGCTGTTGGCAGGAAACCCTGGCTCCTCTATGCAAAGGCCTCTCCACAAGATGACTTGAGTGTCCTCACAGCATGGTAACTGATGTCCGTCAGAGCAGGAGATCCAGGATGATTCTGGGGGTGTCTCCAAAAACAGGAGTGTTCTAAAACAGGGGTACTTTGGGTGAGGAGCAATTAAGACAGGTCCTTTGTTAAGAATTGCTTAAAGGGCTACAGTTTCAGCCTCCATGCTGTTTACATATCTTCTTGTTCATTTGACTGTAAGATCTTTGACAGTAGGCATTTGCTCTGCATCTGACTCCTATTAAGCATTCAAAATGTTTGTTGAATTAATCGTTACATCAAATTGACATATTTATTATATGTTAGTCTCTTCAATGCCTGGAGCAGGGGTAAGGATGGGGCATAGGGCTTGGGGATGGTTGAGTCACAACTGCACGAGGGGGGACCCCCAAAATCCAGGAATTTATTTATACAAAATTGCGTATTTGTTCTCATATGCTTAAACTTCAGTCACCTTC